TCTGTGACTCACAGACTGTGAGAAACAGTCGTCTATCTCGTGCAATGACTCTTAGGCAAAACAGCATTGAACAACGTAGTGGATGAAAAAACGAATGTTCTTTTCTTTTTAGTCTATTTTCTTCTGGAAACAAAACAATAGCTTTGAAGCGTCTTTTGTGATTAAAATAATTTTTTTTCTCGAAAGAGTTTTTATTTGTATGTTGACACGTGAGTACATTCGGTGTACTCAATTCTGTACAAACATTTTTCATGGGCGTTATGCAACGCACCATTAAAATATAAATTGAATTCTTTTTAAATAAAATACTTGAAAGCATGTAACTTATGCGTAGAACTGTTCACCATTCCAGCAAGATCATGCCTAAACAAATATAAGAGTTTTTGAATAAAAGGGCGTTACATTTTTGGTGTTATATGTAACCATGTAGAATGTGATATGAGAAGGACAGCGGCAGCTAATCCGGTGACATGTGATTATTCGTATGATTCTAATTTATGAAGGGCGAATGATGCCTTATAGAATCACTTCTGTGCATAAGTTACATGTTTTCAAGTATTTTATTTAAAAAGAATTCAATTTATATTTTAATGGTGCGTTGCATAACGCCCATGGAAAATGTTTGTAGAGAATTGAGTACACTGAATGTACTCACGTGTTAATATACAAATAAAAACTCTTTCGAGAAAAAAAATTATGTTAATGACAACGCTTCAAAGCTTTTGTTTTGTTACCAGAAGAAAACTGACTAAAAAGAAAAGAACATTCGTTTTTTCATCCATTGTGGTGTTCAATGCTGTTTTGCCTAAAGAACATACACTCATATTCTTGAATGAAGTTAAATTTGGAAGTGTAAATGACTCTATAAAACGGTAAAGATATCATTCGACATCAGTCACTACAGCTATTATTGACTGAGTTATTCTTTACTATTTTGTTCGGTATGTGACATGTCTTCATACTGGCTACAGACTCACAATATTTATCTTCTTCTCGCATTAGTTCAAGTCAGAATCGATTGCGAATTCTCTGTTATTTTTTGACTAGTTTAGGTCGCCATCTGGGTTAGGTAAGGATCGATTGCGAGGCATAGATGCCGATGGTTATCGTCGTTCCCTTAGTGTTTACCAGTTAAGCCTGTGAACGTGATTTTGTTCCCAGATGGCGAAGCCGAAGTAGAGGTATATGGTTTGAAATATATGGATTCATTGAATAGACTGTTCGAAAATATCTGGCATAGAAAACACAGCTGAAATACATAAATAAAAGATTTAGGGACTGTCAGCATCTGATTGTTTGAATACATATAACTAAAAAACTAAAAATCATAAGAAACCAGAGACTGAATCGGGTCTGACGTGGATGACCCGAACCCGACCCGATCCTAATCAATATTTTTTATATTAACCCAAACCCGACCCGATTCGAAGGCTTTTGGATCCGACCCGAATGACCCGAAAAGTTTATATGTATTATATCATCATGATATATATAAAATGTGATATTTTAGAAAGCAGCGGTCACGCGTGGATAAAGTTATAGATGAAGATGCATTGATGAGGTATTGCTTATGTTACGTTAGTTTCCAACTAGCACTCACATCCCTACCTCTCTTGTCGAGCTAAGTTGGATTGGGCATGAAATTCGAAAAACATATTCATCAAATAGAACACAACAATAGTGACTGATTCTATTTCACTGCGAAAATATTGGCATCTCTATTGTGCCGTATCGCATTTTATCCATTCTGCCACATTTGTTATGGAGAGAATAAATTTTACTGAACTGCTTCTCGTTTTGTCAAACTAGAGCTGCTAACATGGTAAGACATATAACCCTTGAATGAGACAATAGAAAATATTCTTTTAAGCACAAACTTGTCTCACCTATCCTGACATACTGCACAAATACCAGCTCGATCTGAGTCTGCTGTAAATACGTTCTATCTGATACTGTCTAGTCTTTGTCAAAAATGGCTTAACTGGTTGAATTTCAAAAGTCTTCAAATATTCAGTTCGCACAGCGTCAATTCATACGTTCATGCACAGCATGATCGTGTGATTTCTCATAACGCAGCATTGTCGTTATGCTTCATCTCTAGAGAAAACTTGGCAGAAACATTCCATTTCTAATTCACTTTGCTCATTGTATGACATTTTCATTCGATTGAACTCTAAGGCTTTTGAAAATACGAAGACAGTAATAGGAAGATCTGATACTTTTTCTCTCTGAAAGAAGGATTTTATTTTCGATTTTTCTGTTTTGTATGTATGTATAAATACAATTTTTCCATTAGAAATAGGTGTGTATATATTTAGTTCTTTTTCTATAGATAAATACCAATGGAACTTATGTATTGTTTTTTATGTTTGTTTACTGTCATGCTAGAACATAAAGTATGTATTTGTTCAACGAAGATAATTAGCGACAATTATTTTATGGAAGATTATTTACCAGTAGTCAATCATCGATTTTTTGTTGTCGAACATAAGAATAAATTTATATTAGCAGGTTCTTGTGATGCTATACACAATCCAAATTTACCAATGTCGCAATGTTTAGTAAAAATTCATCATAAAAATAAATTTTTGTACAAAAATTTATTTTTATTCGCTTGTTGGCTCTAAATCGTAATAATGAAAAATTCATCATTACCACATACTCAAATTAATTCAATATGAAATTGTAGGCACCGGAACAATCTTATTTAAAAAATATGATTTTATCATTATATTAACAGCATTTCATGCTATTATACCTCAGTATTTATTACCATTAAGGCTGTTATTAATTATATTTACAGCTGCTGTTATGTCGGTAATAACTGGAATAATAACAGCGTTAAAATATGTAAATTTTCAAATTAATTATTTTTACGTTGTGTTATTTGGTCTATTATATTCATTAATCGGTTGTTTGTTATTGTATCTACTATTAGCAATTTTCTTTCCATTACTTTCCAGTTCATCATCTAAATTAGAATTAGTTGACAAAACTTGGCAAGATGCTATTTCGACACTGGAATGCAACGTTATATTGAGTAAATTTCCATTTACGTCAGCATGGCGGGGCGATATTGGTCAGTATGATTTAAAGCAGTTAGACATGTCTTAATTCGATGCAGTTATTTATGTTGGTTAGCACTCTTCCATCTTCTATTCAGAGGCCTCTATTTCTATTTACACGAGCAAAAGAAGCCCCTTTAAGTGAGTATGAACCCCTCAAAACTCTCATTGTAGCGAATGATATAGCTCGCTTGTATTTCTCGGCTTACCGGTTGAATGTTTCAGGTAGTTGCAAAATAAAAACTTTTTCAAGATGACTGAACAACTTCAAATTTTCGATGAATCTGAATGGATAAATCTTTCGTCCTACAAGAGCAATAGGAGCTGGAAAGCTTTGTTGTTCAACTAGATGAAGACACATCTCATCAGCAAAAAGTGTTGAAGGCATCTTGGTACGTGGTCTCTTGACATGAAGCAACGCAAGAACAGCCAATCAACTGCCAATGCACCTAAAAAAAGAGACCGATTTTCACGGAACTTTTTCTAGTATATATTATAGCTGATATCAAGACATTTTAGAATATATATTCAGAGTTCTCTGACCACAAGCCATTACTGAGACATCAGTGTTTTTCACAAAACTGTTTGTCATGGCAACAGCATTAAAATTCTTTGAGTTGTTGAAGTACTCTGTCGATATGTAGATTTTTGTCACAGTTTTGGATGTCCATATTATTGTTGGGTCAAAAAAATGATGGAATGGTCTACAGTCTCTGAAAATGACTCCTTAATCTCGTTTACTTATGTAAGATCGATTTTTTGAAAAACACCGATATCTCAGTAACGGCTTGTGGTCAGAGAACTCTGAATATATATTCTAAAAGGTCTTGATATCAGCTATAATATATACTAGAAAAAGTTCCGTAAAAATCGGTCTCTTTTTTTTAGTTCAAATGCATTTGTGAGTAACCAAATGGCTTTTGATTGTATGAGTCATCGTCATATGGCTACGTACCATTTAATATACTGTATAATTTACGCTGAGATGAATGTGAATTGTGAGCGTAGGTCTGTCTCTCACGTTAGCTCAAATGGCCAAAACTATATTCCTTATTCCGATTACGTATACAGCAATCGAAAGGTTATTTTCAGTTGCAAATATACGATTAGATGTCAATGAATAAGCTGAATCATAACACGAAATGTTCTCGCTATACTTTTTCATTTTGTATCTTTAACAGTCGTATTTATTATATTCTATCTACGTAGGTGTCAACTTTCCTCTTCTACTTTGTATTCAACTAGGCCATGTTTATCAAACTGGCACAAACCGCTTGCTTATCATAGGTTAACCATGATTGATTGAATTTTCTTTTCGTTTAGTAAATGGTACTGGTATATCTTATTATGAGTATATGTTCATTTGTTCTTTTCACTTTTAAGTCTTTTCTTCACACAACATCTGTTTTAACAGAAAATATTTCCCTTAAAATATTCTTTATATTTGCTGTAATTCATTCACATGTTCATTTTAGGATTAAGAGTTAATATAAGTACAAAAAAAAAATATGGATTTAAACAATGTTTATGAAATCAGGCATTCGCGTTTAGCAAGTTGTTTTTTCAAATTATCGATTTCCGCTGCCGCTGCATTTGTATGATTATCATAATCCGTTTGCTTTTTCTCATATTCACACAATTTTTCTTTCAAATTTTTAATATCTGTTTCAGCTTTACTTCTAAAATTATCATATTCTATTTGTTTATTATTAATTTGTTGTTGATATTCCTGGATTCGTTGTTGAAATTCTTTTATGTTTTCTTTAAATTCCATTTTTAATTGCTTTATATCTTCTAAATGTATTTCGATATTACTGTAACTTGTGTGAGCAGTGGGCTCACCTTTAGCGATATATATTGCAAGTTCATGACGAAAACTGTCTTTTTCAGAGGGATTATTAATATCAATATGATTAAGAAAACATACGTCAACGTCACTTAAGTTTAAATATTTTTGTAATGCTATAGTTGTTTTACCTTCATATTGTTTATCACGTGTCGGTGACAAATTATTTATAGCGAAAACTAACGATTTTAAATCAAATTTATAAGCTTCATTTATGGCTCGAAATGTAATAAGATCTTCTTCCAAAAGTCGTCCACCACAACCACCACTAAAAACGAACAGAACAACCGATGATGGACATAATTTACACGCTTTTTGTATTTCAATTCCATTTGAATCAATTTGTTTTTGGTCAGGTTCAATTAAACCTGGTATATCGAACACTCTGTACGTTGTTGAATCAAGTATGACATCATAAAAATCTGTATTATGTGTAACAGCCTCTGGTTGATATGCATGTGCAAACACAGCTTTTCCAATTAGGATGTTGCAAATAAATGATTTGCCAGCACCACTATTACCCAAAATAATTAGTCCACACTGATTGGTCAGGGCGCTCAAATAAAAAATGAATTTTTCCATTGTTGAATAGAATTTCTATTCAGAAATAATATATTAAAACGTCACTTACTGTGCAGTGTTTTCTCAACTTACTACATCTCTAGTCATTTTTTGTACTTTTGAAAAGCTCGGAGAAGAAAAGGATCACGTGTATATATGAATTACGGTGTTCTCTTTTTGATCATGTCATTGACATTCCGTTAGCGTGCGTTTTCCTTCAAGGAAAGTTTTTTAAGAAGCTACTGATTTTTTTCGCTGTCAAAGTTCTAGCACCACTCGGGTTTTTTCTTTACGAGATGACTTAATATAAGTTCCGACAACGTGAGTGGAAGAGTATGAGAAACTGAGTATGATCAATGTATTGTTTAGCCTCACAATCGTAGAGCTTAGATGGCGTCTGAAATTGCATTTATGAAGATATTCTGCAGATTTTGAACTGCTCACAAATCCCCGAAACGGAAGTGCAAAATCTTTTTCTCCTTTCTGGGCTCAACAAGGTAGAGTTAGATCTACAGCATGAGACGTTTCGCAGCTCTGTAGCACACAGAATAAACACTCTACATACGGGTGCAAATCAATGATTGTTTAATTTTGCATTTTTTCGATGGAAAAACCAAAAGAAAGTTTCGTTCACCATCCAAGCTCGACATACAGTGGGCGGTCATTCAAACGGACATTTAGCGAAAAATCGAAAGTGCGGTTTTTTAAAATTAAAATAGTGGCAAATATGATAGACGGGTTATCTTATGGCGTCAAATTTTTTGTTTCGAACGAGGAATTTGCAGGTAAAAAAAATGTTGAAGAAAACATACCTCTTGTATCCGTGATCGGTATGTAAAATCAATTTTGTATTGAACTGAATTACATTTAAGTTTTCGAAACGTGTTATTTGGAATCAGGACGCTCTTAGCTAGCTATTGGTGAAAAGAAAGTTCGTCGTAGGTCTAGTCTGTTAGCCAAAAAGATTACTTCTCAACCGAGGTGATTTTTTCCGAGAGCTATGTTCAGTGCAATGCGCTTCCGAAGCTCCAAATTCGTTGAAAATTTCATAGAATGTGCATCGACATAGCCTGAATCTGTGGTGATAGCAGTTTTATGCGGTTTTCCGCCTAGAGCGAGACCTAGGTTTTTCAGATATTTTACACCTTTCTGAGTTAAAAGTCATTTTTATTCAAGACATAATATGATATTCGAAATTAGCGTAAATGGTTGGTTCAAGTACAATTGACTTTCCGACTTTCTCTTCGAGCCACGATAGTTTGATAGAACGTTAGGAATTGTTCTTCGAAAGCTTCTTCTCGTTCAAGCTGTTGATCAGTGCATATTAAGTAAATTTGATGGTAATAAAAAGAAGTAAGAAGCTGAGGAAGAAACAGAGAGATTATTGACCAAAATGTACAGTTCTTAAATTATAGAAAAACGAGCAGAGCCAAAGAGATGAAAGTGATTTCTACAAAAAGTAAAATCTGCCGAAAGTTTGTGTGATAGAGAGCCAATCGTTTCCATATGATAAATTATAATCTATTTATACAAGGCTTTTTGCACTCGATGTAAGTACTCAAACGCTTGCTTATGATGGTGAAATTCTTCCATAACGAAATATTTTTCTATCAGTATTGTTTTATGTATCGATAGCAACGATCACTGCGTGGTCAGATTCATGGCAAGAAAATGCTTTAATCTTAAGTAGTGTTTCAAAGCATATTCCGGTCGATCGGTCACTATTCCTCTATTCTGCAACTATTCCTGTATTCTACTGTTACACAACATTTCATTTTGAAATAATTTTTAGCTAAACGTACACAGACGCTTCATTTTCTTTTCTAATCGATTTGATTACTTCTTCAAAGACAATTAACCGCTATGTGTCAAGAGATTATTCCTTTTATCAACATATCAAAACACAGAGTAAAGTGTCTAATTGGAACCGATACCAGATTTGTCTAGCTTGTAACTTTAGTACCTCAGTGAGGTTTAAATCGATTTTCACTGAATCTGAGACTTTTGTAGCTGAAGGTCTTGGCCATTTAATGATCTAAAAATTATTCCGAAATTCCTGTAGGAGACGGATCAGAGAGATTTACTAAGGAGAGAGTTGTTTTGATTCAAATTAGGCTCTGTGCCTAGTGGGAACCGTACAGCGAAATGTGTCTCTAACTGGAAAGAAGACTTTAATTCACTAAAGTTGATCGGTGCGTGGAGTTTAACTTGTGTACGTCAGATAGACGTAAAAATCACAGTTAAGTATATTCTAGTTAATTGTACTTTAAGTTGTAAAGTTGATGTAATTAAGGGTAATTTCAAAGTGAGTGCTATCCTGTTATATGAATAATTCCATGAAAATGTAAAATTCATTCTTCTCTTAGTTTCTTATCTCTTGTATGTATCTATATATGCATACAGAAGAAAAAAGATTAAAAAAAAAGAAAAATAACATCAAGTATTACTTAAGTTATATTTTTCTTTTTTTTAATCTTTAAGTAATACTTGATGTTATTTTTCTTTTTTTAATCTTTTTTCTTCTGTATGCATATATAGCTACATACAAAAGATAAGAAACTAAGAGAAGAATGAATTTTACATTTTCATGGAATTATTCATATAACAGGATAGCACTCACTTTGAAATTACCCTTAATTACATCAACTTTACAACTTAAAGTACAATTAACTAGAATATACTTAACTGTGATTTTTACGTCTATCTGACGTACACAAGTTAAACTGCTTTCTTCACTCTAAGTGAGAAGAGAAGAAATTTTATGTTTTCAGCAGAGGAAAATATGTATTTTCTGTTGCCATCGTAAATAGGTGTATGAGGATTTATATATGTAAGATTGGCCGAGTATAAATCGTGTACAATCCGGTAGAGTACAATTATACAAGATTATTGATAAGCTCTTAATTAGTTTCGTATAAGCCCGTTCAAATGTATCAATTAGATTGAAGGTTAGGGAAGCGTTTTAAGATATATTCCAATCGGTGGGTCGTTACTTCCCTATTCCGTCCATTAAGTCGGTGTAGGTACGATATAACGTAATTTAGAACTGTTTTATACATAACTGCCTTCTTTTGTAATTGCATAAACATATAACGTGTAGTCATTTATCTTTACAGACTGATCTAGTCATAATGGTAGATAAAAGATAATTAGAAATAAGATTGCTTTTTTATTCGTAAAAAATTGTATCTATAAATAGACGTTTCAATTTATTTGCTAAATTTTCATCAGTAGCCAGACAGAAAATTAAAAGTATAACATTAAATTTATAATTAAAAACATAATAAAGTATTAACGTTTAACAAACGTAGTTTTGTACATATTCTTTTACTAGATGCTACTGATGAAAATTTAGCAAATAAATTGAAACGTCTAGCTATAGATACAATTTTTTACGAATAAAAAAGCAATCTTATTTCTAATTATTTAATCCTTATTCGTATACAGAATCTCAACAAAAATAAATAAGTAGATAAAAGAGAGCTAAAATTACTGAGAAATGGAGCTTTTCTTTCTTATTTGCACGAACATACATTATTCATTAATTAGGCATACATCTTGTATGTAAAGTATATCTAAATTACACTATCTCATAACTTCTCCTTTTATCAATTTGACTTCTTTAATTTCTCATACAAAAAATTCTAGTCATTATCCTGGCTACAAGCATTAAAAATTGCAATTTTGTTGATCTTTTTGTTCGAAAGTTAAACTAGCTCGTCATCGTCATGAATTGTGTTAGATTTTATTTATTGTGTCAGGTGGGATGAAAAGAAGAAATGGATATTATTATTTATCAAAATAAAGGAAAATGGAAGCGGTACCTTTGATCTCTACCGTTGAACTATATTTTCTCATTTCTTGCTTATACTGTGTAGAATTGCGATTTCGGGTGATTTCTCTTGTGCAACTAAGCAACAAAAGAGAACTATACTAACTCAAAGTTCACTCAAAAAACCAAGAGAAGCCTACTTATACACTCTAAAAAAGTTTTCAATCATCAAGAATTATGCTTGATACTGCATTCTCTTCGAAAAAATTGCTCCAGTTCGAAAGTGCTACATTCAACGAGAATAACTGCTACTCACTTAGCGCCAACTATAAAAGTAATTATCTTTGAAACCATTATATGTGTAAAGATAAACCTTTCAGAAAATGAATAAGT